AGGTACAGTCGAATCAATAAAAAAAATTTCAAAGATCATGAAGAACAGTATTCCAAAAAACTGCGTACTCTGAAGTCTTTGAAAGACTTGGAATGACTTATGAAGTATTTTTGAATGACTTCAAGAGTGCGCAGCCTCTCGCAGCATTACGATCATGCAGGAAAAATATCGTGTTTCATCACCGAATCGGTACGATAAATCTCTTTTGCGTTATTATTATCGTTATTAAAATTACTCACAGAAAAAAATCGATATTCCAAAAGTAAATGGAACAGAACTGCAAAAGTATACATATACCACCAAGGGAGCAAAAATAATGGGTATAAGTCCTGGGAGCGCACGTTCATCGTCATGTGATCGAGGTGCGCGTGTGCGTATACGATTCTTTTTTTGACCAAAGTTATTTTTTTGCTCGACAAAGGTTGGAAAAAAAAAAAAATCTTTTATTTCCAAGCACACGCCATTGTTTTTTGCAAAAATATCCTCAAACAGCCTTAAATACTCCGCTTTGCGGAAAAAAAAAATGTACAAGAGCGCGTATGCATAAAAGGCCGAGGGAAGCAGTAAATCGGTTTCGATGGAATCCCGATTACACGTACGCGCTGCCGTTTTCCCTATCCCTCCCGAATACTTTTGCGAATACCATTCGCACCGCGAAACCTTAGCCCCTCGGGGTATATATATATATATGGTAGCGACGATTATTGGCCGCCGAAAAGCCGCAATAAAAACGCAAAACGACGGGAAAAGGGGGAGGGATTCTTTTCTCCCGGACGAACAAAGGAGTCGGGAATGCCCGTGTCGCGGCAGTTAGTCCCTCCGATAATCGCTCCCGCGCTGCTCGAAATAACGACGGACAGCCCCCTCCTCTCGACGTCCTTGTCGTCGTCGGGAGAGATTCGCGATTTATCGGCTCGCTTTTCCCTCCCCTGCTACTCGATACATAGTTTATATATACATAAACGTCGCATGCACGTACACCCCGGCGACACACTCTCTGCTCTCGTGTTTATTTATTTTTATATATTATCAATGATTTTTTTTTTTTTTCGCGTCTCAAATCAACTCGTGCCCTGCAAGTTTAGTTTGACGGGTGCTGCTGCCTCTTATCGACCCGGATTCATCGGTATCGAACGGCAACCGGACGAGAGAGCGAGAGGGGGGGGACGGTAATTGTGTCCAATTATATACACACAGCCGGATTCTCGATCCCGTGGTTTCGTGTAGCCCGTATGTACAGGTACTACTATTATCTCCGCCAAACAAATCATTTCGATATTCATACACGTGTAAATCTTTAGAATAAATTGTTACTGCTAAACCAGATAAGTCGAGTGGGAGGGGGGACCACGCGATAGTGTCGCGTTTTGAATATTTGAGACGTATATATGTGTACTTATGTATGTCCAGTTTTTTGGCTCCTGCTTGCGCAACTGCATCTTATCTGTACATGCTATGCATGTGCCACTTTGGCTCTCGAGGTTGGACATGTCAGAGACGGATGTTGGTTCAAACATTCCGATCGATGACAAAGGGAAATAGCACTTAACTTTTCATCTGTAAGTAACCCGGTAAGCACCTTCAAAGTGGATCATTGAAAACGAGTGAGGGATGGCCACTGTGTCCTCGGAAAGCTCGAGATCACCTCATCTTGGCTCCGTAGGTTCAAAGTTCGTTCACCCACCCGTGCGGCTAATTTCCGCGCGCATCGTGCCAATCAGCCGACACAGCCTCCAGTTCTACTGTTAGCCAGCCGCGCTATATCTATATAGCTAGAGGGAGGTTGGCCACCATACGAGTATATGTGATGTAGAGGAAGTGCAGAGGAGGGACATTTGCACTCGATGTGTCTGTATCGGCGTTCGTGATCCCACGGGCCGATCTCTCTCTCTCTCTCTCTCTCTCTCTCTGCTGCTGCTGCTTCAGGTCTCTTGCACTCGAGAGAGAGAGAGGACAGACATTGCCGGGGTGGTCTCTATCTGTGCTCCCTCGCTTCTTTGTTATTCTCATTATATGTCGCGGAAGCAGATCTCTCCGAGTGTGTGCACAGAACCATCTGTCCTTAGGCCCTTCTTATTACTACATTTTCTTTTTTTCTTTCTTCATTCACCGGTGAGATTTTCGAAGCGGATAGGAGAGCCGGAAAATGAAAATTTATGTGGACCAACTTTTTTTTTTTTTTTTTTTTTTTTTTAATACAGACACGATATATCGGGTTTCGATTAAACGAGCCCCCAGTAAATACTGTTATTGATGCATTATGCATATACATCCGAGGCACGCCATAGCCAAACGTGATACCATCTTAATTGTGCAGGAAGAAAAAAAAAAAAAAACTATCTGCGGACGATAGCATCGATATTTTTACAACTAATGAGCCTCTTTGGATCGCGTCTCCCGAGTACATGTATATACACGCGCTGGTCTATTCAATGCGCAACTACGTAACGTGTGTATATGCACATGCACACGTGATCGAGTACTTACGTGTGTAATCGAGACAATCGTTTTTACAAGCGAAACCCTCGGAGGGGCAGGGAGAGAGCTCCCTCCTGTTTTTGCGTCCCTCCTCGCTCTTTCTCTAACGAGCATCCCTCGCGATAGAGGGAGAGATCGAGTGATCGATCGATCCGACTTCCCTATCGATTTGCGGTCCTCGGGAGGGCAACGAGATAGGGGAAGGAAACGACAGAGACAGATGGATCATGATGTGACGTAACGTGTAAGCTCTTGACGTTGGACAGTTTTGCTACTGTTGCGTGCATGGGAGCCCAAGAGAGCGCGGATGCTGGGTGCCCCGGGAAGATTTTATTGTGCGGCTCTTCCTTATTCGCGGGATGAGCGTAAGCCGCTTTTGCAATTGCGCGCGTCGTCCTCGCGGGACGTGCCCCGGCTGATTTGCATCCGCTTCGGCGTTTGTTCCAACGGGAGGGAGATGCGCCGCTGCACCGGTTGTAATCTACTTAGAGATTTCTTTATCGCTCCTGTTTGCCTTCTCTCGGAGGCTGATTGGAAACTCGTTCTGTTGATGCGAATGGATGTGATTGTACAATTATTCGTAAATAGTCCGCTTATCTTGAGATCTCCACTTATTTGAGATTCATTTTTTTTTCTGCTTCAGGTGAGTCTACGTACTTTTACGAAACAGAGGGCCAATCTGTAAATGCGTAAGTCGATCAAGTGTATCCTTATTACGTGTTTATCCTTGTCGAAAAATTATCGACAAATGCCCCCTAAAACATCCTTCAACCGAATATATACATAATTATAGCACGAGTCACAGGGAGCCTCTTACGCGAATAAAATGTATCTCAAGTCTGTGGAGATAGAGAGAAATCTCCTTCTGGCGCTTTTAACTCCTCTCCAAAAGATATAGAGCGAGTTACGAGATGCAGATGCTCGTGAGGCCTCGGTGGGCGCAGGTGCGTCGTAATCAGTCTTCATACTAATTAATTAAAGGAATCCCATCTGCGGTCTCCTCGTGCACACATGCGCGTTTGAGATAGTAGCGCCGGTGGTGAGCTTCATTGTGCCCACCCTTCGTCGCTTCTTCCGTATATTGTATATACGTATATATATGTACATGCGCATCTTTCTTAAGCGAGTGAGAAACTTGGCAAAAGCTCGCTCGTCTAGGACGTATTACGCGTGTGCACCGCTTGTACATCAAATAGTTGAACGAGCAGCAATTTCTCCCGGAGATTGCGCGTGTGTGTATATATATTATATATGTTTATGTGTTTGTATAAGCCGAGACGCGGCTTGTTTTATACATTAATGAGGCAATATTGGCTCGGAACTTGAGATGCTTCGCTTCCGATGATGATGCTGACGCTGCTGCTCCGTACTTTTGCATATTAAAGAAGGAGTCGGTGGCGGCGCCATTGATTTTTTAGACGGTTATTGTTCTTTGGGGAAATCGTCGACGCAACGATGACTCGTTATTTATGAATCTCGGGGATATTATGTGGCCCCCGGCTAATTAGGCCCTTCGCCCAGCCCCTTGGAGTCAAATCCCTGTAAATTTGGTTAATGAAGGTAAAAATGAAACTTCATCGGGCGTATAACATTGCCCATTCGAGTTAACAATAGTTATTTTCAGCCACTTTGTCCAAATTCCACAATTTCACGTGTAAAGCTCATGACTAGCAATTTTTACTAGTCTTATGTATTACCAATTGTTCCAACCCAAGGATCGTCTTATTTTCCACTGGTCCCTCGCAAGAGGCTCCGTTGACCGCGATAACGCCATGTTCAATAAAACACCGCATAATCTTTTACCCCGTGATAACCAGCTGAATCGAATTATTTAATTAACTTATCAGCTCGTGCACGTAACGTGTTTTCCTCGGTTATCTCACGAGCGAAAAACGACCAACCGCGTGTACTTTATCATCAGTCCGTAACCGGAGGGGAAGAAAAAAAAAAAAAAACTAATTCCACCTTCCTTCTCTGGGTCTTCAAACGGCTCTACGGCATTTGGAATAGCATGAAAAATTGATAAGCGTAGCTCACACTGTAAACTACTAGGTATTATTACTGCCATTGTGACAAAACGCGTTCGTTGTACCTATCCAAGTGTCGTTTTTTTTTTTGTTTTTTTGTTTTCGCTTATAAATATCATACACGCCCAGTACTTGGCGTGAGTGTGTGTGCAAATGCGACTGAGATAACAATGCCCACAATTTGCCGTGCGCGCGTGGGTGAGGACACATACATCGGGTGACATGCACGCTCCCTCGTACAATATGTATAGTGTATATAATGTACGTGTACAGGGTTGGGCCAAGTGGAGAGCTCCCACTCGCGTAGGGTGGGGGGGGGGGGAAAGTCGTTTAACGTCAATCACGCTGGTAACGAGGTCGGGCGCAGTAGCGTGCACCTACCTACTTCTTTGCGAGTTTTTTGCGCTCGAGGTGTACGGGTCAGCCCGCGCCGCGTTCGTTACTTTCGAATTTCCCGCTCCGACACTTTTTTAACTCGATCGACTGCCGGCTTACCCTCGATTCTTTTTTTTCTTCTTCTTCTTCTTCTTTATCGCTAATTTCAAGTGCTCGTCTTTTTGCATCTTGCTGAGAATCGATTGGACGCCCGTGAGTGCTTGTTAACTTTATGCTCGACACAATACTCTTATTTGCCGTTGCTGTTGGGGCACAAGTGCGGCATATATATTTGTTTGACCTTTGGGTCAACAAAGGAGATCCTCTGTCGCGAATAATCTAATGACGCTAGCGAGAAAACACCTCTGTATCCGAGCACTTGCGCTGATGTTTTATCAATTACATCCCGAAGCAGAGCGCGTAGTTCGTAAATCTTGTTTATATCGGCTTTATCGAGCGACAACTGGTATGTGTATAAGTATACATAATACAGGTACGCCGGGAGGTGCAACAAGAAAGGGGTGGATTATTTTTTCACACCGCCCCGGGGAGGAAAACTTTCCTGATGTAATAATCCTCGGCGCGAACTTGCAGCCGCGAAAGCTCTCGCGCGAAGGAAAGCAGCGAACGATCCATTATTCCGCGCTTCATACCACCCACGTATACATACATACTTCTTTCACTCGAGCCGATGTTGCATGGCACTGCCCTACTTACCGATAAATAATTCTTCCTTCCCACACGTATTAAAACATGCATTGCTCTCCGCGAGTAGATGGAGGGGGGGGGGGAGGAAAAGCACTTTGCGCGTCTGCATGTACACGCACCGAGTTCTTTTTTTTTTTTTTTGCACGACTTTGCACCTCTTTGCCCGCAATTGAAAATGAAGGGTGACGCGTAAAAGAAAGATAGCCCGATGTATAAGCGGATTTGCGCGACCACGTGCTCTTACTTCGTTGTTGAGAAAAAGGGGTGGGGGAAAAATGAAGAGTATAAAAAAAAAAACTGGGTCTAATTTGAGCGAGGAGAGGAAAAAGTGCGCGAGGAGGATCTTCTTGCTGGGGCCCTGAATTATTCATACTCGCTGATCCATGAGGAATATCCGGCTCTCTTTACTCCATACAGTTACGTCCTTGCCTTGGCTTACGATCTTACTTTCGACCATTTTTTACTTTCCACCTCTTTTTCACTGAAATGTCTCTTTTGCGACTTGATACTACGCCCGAGTGTCTTACTTTTTCTCCATACTGCACGAACAGTCCTTTCTTTCTTTCTTTCTTTTTTTTTTTTTTTTTTTTCATTACTTCAACTCCAAGTGACTAATAATGGTCACAATGTCGTGCCATTCGGGTTTTACGAGCTACTTGCTTCATTTTGTGCTTGATTTATTTTCAATTGCAGTGTAATTTTTTTTCCTTCATCCCGAACATGCAAAACGCTAACAAAAATATCCAAATTCCATTGATGCGGCATTAATAGCGATGAAGATGCCGAGATGGATGTAATCGTCATACCATTCCAAGTCTCGTCGCAGTAATGCCATACATAAACACGAGGAATTACACGAACCTCCCCGGAGCAATAGGTGGTAAGATTGAAAAACGCCTCGCGTCCCACAATTAAAACCACATTCTGAAAAAAACAAGCTCGTAAGAGCGAGAGAGAGGAAGAGACATCTCAATCCCTCCTCGTTACAAAAATCGTCTCGTCGCGGGGCGCCGATAATTCGCGCTCGGATAAGTGATAAGATTCCCGAGATTTATGTAAATGAGGTACACGAGCACGCGCGAGTCCAAGTCGCCGATAAGCCCCGGTAATCCGGTGGAGATAAGTCGCGCGCGCGTAAGCCTCGCGCAAACACGCGCGTAATACTCCCTCCCCTCTTCTTCTTTCTCGTTTAGGTATCACCCGCGGGGAGATATCGGGGACTGGGGATCTTCGATTGGCGACTCGCTCTTGCGGATTAGCCTGTGTGTAAGTATAATGAGCCGAGCCGTCCGCTCGTGGTGACGATTGTGTATACAACGCTATGGAGCTTTTTGATGGTAAAGTTTCCTCGGCACGTGATGCACAGTTTCGAGATTTATGTACATCTCTTCCATCATTTTTTTTTCTCTCTATTGGGGTAAAAGCAAGTTTTCAATCTAACAGCGATATGACAATATCGCCCGGACTCGGTATTTATTTGATGGACAAAAGCTCCCATTTTATCAGCCAGCCGATGGAATTCCCCAACACATAAATTTATATTACAACTTATTTCGATATTGTCTTTTTCCAAATAACTTTTACCATAATACAGCACTCTCTCTGTGACGAGAAAAACAAAATGAACAGTATGTGGCACGTAATCCACATTCATAGCTCCTCGCTTGGGGTGTAATTGTTTATAAATTATTCATCAGTGGAGGTGGTAAAAAAAAAGCAACAATACTTTCATATTAGAGTGACACGAAGTCCATGCACCTATGCCCAAGTGAAAAAGCAATTTGACGTCAATCGCTTATAATTTCATGGACTCTGTCTCTTTAGCACTCGGGCGAGCACATGCTGTGGGTTGTAGGTACACAGGAGCCATTAATAACTTACTCCAATATCCGTTTCCGCTTCATCACGCTCGCCCTTTGTCTTTTTCTCTCCTTACAATTACAACTCCCTCGTCCTCTACTGTGGTCCATAAAGACACCACGCGCCCCAATACATACGTACTCGTTACACAGATTACTCGCTCATCGTTTATTAAATTTTCATCTTTTACATTCGCGCGGTTCCTCGATGTGATTGGTGCAAGCTCGAATGCTAAACGTTGCGCACAGACATCCATTTAACCGTATGTAACTGCCATTGCGTGTACCTACGCGTGTGTGTAAACAAACTGATGGGTGCACGCAGTAACAATATATTTATACGAGAGAATAATCGGAAGAAAAGAGGACTGCTGTGGTGGTGGTGGTCGATGCCCCTCTCGGTCCGTGATTCATCGTTCGCAAGCTCGGGCTAATGGCGCCGGCTCAATATTAATGGGCAAATTAACCCGCGATATGTACCCCCTCGCCCCAGCCAGCGTCAATTATGAAAGTGCCGTTTGTTTCTCTCTCTCTTCCTCTCGGTGCGTCGGTTTAAAGAATTTGTCATTGTGTGTATGCGTACATGGTTGTTCAGTGTCGGGTGATTTTTTTATAAGACTGGACTCTTTGGAGAGTTCCTCTGATCGACGTTTCGGAGACAAAGTTATTTTTTCACTGACACAATCCAGAGAAGGGGAGGTTTTTCTTCGTGTAGTACTCGTAAATTATAGAGGAAAAAAGAAAAAGATTGCACATGGTTTATCAAATTTACAGGCAGTTTTGTTTGACAACAATGTAATTCGAATGTCTTGCAATGTTCTGTTAAGTTGTTAGCGAAACTTTACACGGCATAGCTTCCTTATACAGCGAGCAAGCAAACGTGAAAAATTAATACACCTTTGGTCTTAATTTTACAACCCCGTGAGATTGCATCCACCATCACCGCACACTACTCCAACTGGCGCTCTCCTGCAGCCATTTTCATCAGATAAAATTGTTCGCGCGCTTCTCACGCCCGCAGCGGGTTGCCGCGTTTTTCGCACTTTTTGCATTCATCTTCGCTCGCTCCTCCGCTGTTACTCGGCGTTTTCACTTGTACTTCAATTATTTACTTCTGCGTATCTTTTTACCGCAGCCCCAGTACACCGGTAGCCGCCAACGAATTTAATTCCGTCGCATTTAACTCTCTGCACTTCATTAATCTCCCTCCCCCTTTCTCGCGGCATAATTTTTTGCACCACCTCGCGCTCTCGCCTCTTTCTTCACTTTTTTTTTCTCTCCCTTTCTCCGTGCTCCTCCCTCGCGCGATGTACATTTTTTTTCTTCTCCATCTCTCATTTTTTCACTTCAACGGCACTATCGTCTTTCTCTCTCTCTCTCTCTCTTCTCTGCATAGTTTTACCCCGGCTGTTATAACGCGACCCCACCCCCCCTTTTCTCTTTACCCGTGCACACACGTATATACTTTCGCTCTCGTCCCGGGGCTCCTCTTTCCGCTCTTACTTTCACCTCCTCGATATCGTAGTCTCGCCCGCGGCTCAAACCACCCCCCCCCCTTCCAGCGAAATTCATCCTCCTATGCACCCGTGTTTTTTTCTTAATTCCTCCCGTCTACCAGCGACTGCTGTCGCTCGCGGATGAATAATGTAAAGGGTAATTACCGAATGCCGCGATGTGCGCACCCTACCCCCCACGTACACTTGCATCACAGACTCGCTCACCTGACGGTACGTGCGCTCTCTCGCGACGGTATCGTATACAAATGGCAGACTTATGAAAACCTCATGAAATCTTGATGCGCAGCGCAACAACAACAACAGCCCTGCCGGCTATGCGTGCACGACACGTATACGTATAAAACACACACGCAACGGGAGGATAAAAGAGTATCGGGCTCGACAACGAGTTTACGACATGCCCCAGGAATTATTAGCGTGTTGCGTATCCTCTTTATGTTGTACATACTCTCCCGCGTCGACCGCGACCTATTATCACACGGGGGGGGGGGGTTCTATTTTTTATCGATTCCCGAGTGCGATGTCACACGCACGGCTACTTGTTCGCCAGATTTCTCCGCCAAAGCAATTTTACAATCCACGCCCTGCGCATCGAATTTAAATTCATAATTAATGAAGAGCAACAGGAGCGGAAGCCCGGGCAGATCAATCGCCTCACTCCCGCTTTCGATGAGAAAAAAAAAAAAAAAGAAAAAAAAAAGGGAGAATATGGCGTGCGCGCCCATAAATCCAATCGACTCTCTCGCTCTGGCCGAGTAAACCTCACGCGCAGCAGCGGCAGATCTATCGACCATATGAAAAGAACATTACGCAATTCAACGGATCGGCCGCTCGCTGTGTTTGTCCATCGAAAAGCCGTTGCGCGCAACCAACCATCACCCACGTATACACCCTCCAACACACACACACACACACACACAGAGGCAACAAAATTGTATCGGAAAAGCCATCGGCTATAAATTTCGGGGACCTATGCCGCGAGAGAGCGAAAATCGTTTGTCAGGCCGTCGAGCCTTCCGGGCTCTCTCTAGTAACCGGAGCATACGTACGTGATTCTCTCTCCCCGTGGGGTTCGGCGACGCGTTTGACAACCAACGGGTTGCA